CAGGCACATGAAAAGATGCACAACATCACTCCTCATCAGGGAAATACAAATCAAAACCACACTCAGATATCACCTCACGCCAGTCAGAGTGGCCAAAATGAACAAATCAGGAGACTATAGATGCTGGAGAGGATGTGGAGAAACTGGAACCCTCTCACACTGTTGGTGGGAATGCAAACTGGTACAGCCACTCTGAAAAACAGCGTGGAGGTTCCTCAAAAAATTAAAAATAGACCTACCCTATGACCCAGCAGTAGCACTGCTAGGAATTTACCCAAGGGATACAGGAGTACTGATGCATAGGGGCACTTGTACCCCAATGTTTATAGCAGCACTCTCAACAATAGCCAAATTGTGGAAAAAGCCTAAATGTCCATCATGATTTTTAGAAAAATAACATTTACTGATATAAGCGCTTCCTGAAGAATATGTCTCCACTGTTCAAAAGACCTGTCTTTGATCATTGCTTTCTCTGTGACTGTCTCTCACACATATTCTCACTGGGCAAGTGTAATACATGGTATTCCAGCTACTGCAGATGCAGAAATCACACACACACACACACACACACACACACACACACACAGTATGTCTTCTCCATACCTCATAGAAACTGTCAGTGAGTGCCTGGGAACAACTGTGTTGGGCATGGAAAAAACTGCAAGGCAATCCAGACTGGCATAAAATGGCTTGTTTATATTAAGAGTACACTTATCTTGATGAGCACTGAGTAATGTACAGAACTGTTGAATCACGATATTATATATCTGAAATGAATATAACATTGTATATTAACTACACTGGAATTAAATTTGGGGAGGGGAATTAAAAATTTTTTAATGGCTTTATCTGGAAAAAGCTCCTTCTCACTTGTATTCCCCCCACTCTAGTGTCCCTTCCCTCCTTCTCTCCATCTCTCCATCTCTCAATCTGTCTTTCCATCTCTCTGTCTCCGTCTCTCTGTCTCTGTCTCTCTCTCTCCACACACATACACACACACAGAGAAGAGGCTAATGAAAGCAGACTCTGAGGTCACTGAAGAAAAATTGAAATTTTTTTATGGGATCAACCTTTCTCTCTTTCACCTCTGTCCTGGCAAATACAAGCTGCGAATACAGGTGTTATTGCCAGATTGTGCTCCACTCTGTAGGGCTAAGCAGGTACATGGCGACTACCATGCCAAGGAATCCAAGTGGATATCCAACATGGAAAAGTGCCAACCCAAAACAGCACCTCCCAGCTGTAGTCATCTGACTACAACTCCTGTAGGAAATCATTTAACCACAAATTCCAACTCCCCTTCACTCCCACAGCCTGTCACCCATCTCAAAGGGCTGGTCCCTTGAATCGTGACAATCTGACCCACATCAGCAGCCCCGAGGCCAAATGGCAACATAAGGCCTTTCCAGCCCATTGGATAGGAAAAGGGAGGGACAACCACTTGAATGATTGTAATTGAAATCCTATAATTTGGGATTTGTCAATAACTGCTAACTTTTGGGGAGTTTTCTTTACCCCCAACACACTCTGGCAGCCACAATATGTAACTGGACACCTACAATGCTTCTGAAACCATTTCATCATCTAGTAACAATGAAACAAAGAATAAGTTCTAAGGATAGAGAAGATGCCCCATATCTCAGAGGTCACTGTTCCATGGTCAGTAATTTAAAATGTTTAGAGGGAAAAACTACTCGGTATTCTAAGGGTAAAAAACTAATATGCAAAAGGATCAGCTGTGTTGGCAGGAAGTGGGGTACAGAAAGCCAAGTGCTATCTTCCAGTTCATGCTATAAAATGGAACTGATAGTCCTGTCACCCCTGCAGTTATTAAACTGCACTGATCAAATCGTCATCTGAATCAAGTCAGGCAAAGAAACTTACTTGAATAACAGAATCATAGCTCTCAGGTTGAAAGAGGAATTTATCAGACATTTGTCCAATGTTCCTCTACTTAATAATCCCCCTCCAAAATATCCCTGGTCTCATGCTCATCTCTGATAGCTGATATAACCTGATGCAAAGCAAAGGGGATTTACAGTGAAAAGTCCTGAGTTGGAGGCCTGGGTCCTGACTTTCTGATTCATCAGCAACACTCCATTGGACCTGCTGGTCATCAATTACAATATGATGAGGCTAGACTACTTGACTACCAACTTCTCAAATGATTCAAAATTTTCTAGGCTGCGATAGGGAACTCACTATCTCCAAAGATAATTCTTCTCATGTTTGGATAATTCTGACTAGTAAAAAGTTCTTCCCTATACAGAGTCAAATATGCTTCCCTGCAGTTTCTACCCACTTATCTGACTTTTTTATATAACCTATGTATACTCCTAATTCTATGTAACAGCCACTCATATAATTGAAGACAGACACTTGTCTCCCATCCATCTACTTCTCACTCAGTTCCCTTTACCACCCATCTGGCCAATCATCCTGTTTACTTTAATCGGAACCCATAACAAGTTGTCCACATCTTTACTGAAAAGTGACCATATATAACTGAACAAAAAACCTACAGAAACAATCTGGCAAATGCCAAGTGAAGACCAGCACCACTTACTCTGTTCTAGCTAATGTGCTTCTTTCATGCAGCCTAAATCAGCATTACCTTCTGGATACTACATCACACTGCTGCCATCACAGTATCCCTGCTTTTACTTATGTCTTCTACCCTGTCCTTGCAAAGGTTAATTTAGACCCAAAGTCAGAATTCTACTTTTCTTTCAGAAGGATTTATTATTATGTCTGAGCTGTGTTGTGACATGCTAAAATCTTCTTGGAACTTCAGTCTATCCTAAAATTATTTGCCAGGTGCCCATATTTTCATCCAAGTGACTGATGAAGATGTAATGATTATGACTGTGGCCAAGAAAATAGTCCTGGAGCAGACCAACAGACTGTCCTCCATATTTATATGAATCTAATATTTTGGTCTTCTGCCATTAAAACATCAGATCCCAGCTTGCCTCATCGTTGCCACTCTCTGGACTCCACCTTTCCGAGCTCATATGCCACAGCCGAGTCTTTCTGCTGCCCCTACAATGGTCTCCGCAAGTAAGTTCACCCAGGACTTAGGGTAATTTCAGAGAAACCGCTGTTTAATACACTAAAAAGATAAATAAACCTAACAAAAAAGGAGAAAAGTTCACACCCAGAGTTGTGTGGGACAGTGGAAATAATGTGGGAGTTGGATTCACAATGACCTGGGATTGAATCCTGGTGCTGTAACTTATTCACTGGGTAACTGCGGGCATCCTACCACTATCAGTTCCCTCATCTCAAATATAGGGATAATAGTAATGACCTCACAGGGTTGTTATGGGGGTTAGAAGTGATACGTGCAAAATCTTAGCCCATCCTCAGCGCATAATCTAAGCAATACAGGTTACTTTTATTATTATAGCATGGTGAGAAAGACAAAAACACAGTAACTACTGGCCCAGAAAGACAATTAAACCCAAGAAGAAAAGGAGAGAAAAATGAAGCCCTGTGTCTTGTAGATGTTAACTAATGTTCCACAAAAGAAAGAACTGATGGTTTCATTGGAAATAAGAGCATTAAACCCAGTTTTTAAAACTCATACATATTTCTATCTCATTGGCCCTAAATAAGATTGGCCACCTCCTTGCACATCTTATTTTTATCATTATCCAGAAACTCATAAGATACAAAAGATGATTCAGACCCAGTAAATACCAGGGTGAGAAGAAACACAAAATGGGAAAGGAGGAGGTGCAGACACATAAGTAAATAATTACAATAAAATATCACGAATGCCACAAGAAAGATAAATATAAAGCATATGAGGAAACTGTGATCTATATGGAGATTTCAGTTAAGCTTTATGAAGGAGGGGATGATCCCAGATAGTTTTAAAGGATGAGGAGAAGCTATGACTGAGAGACACTCCAGGTAGTAAGGACAGAATGTAGAGATTTTAAATAGTGGTAGACCATTAAAGGATCAGCCAAGAAATGTCGATCAGTCTAGAGTGACTTTCCCATAGAATACAAACAGTAAGAGAGGCAGCTGGAAAGATACAGATTCACGTCTATTGTGAAGGAGCGTCTAGGTCTAGAAAAACGTTGGAATTCTACAAGAGGGAATGACGTAATAAGATTAGAAGATGAATCAGGCAGCCTGTAGCAGAGGGGCTCATTATGACACTTTTTACAAACAGCCATGTGAAAGATGATGAAGTTCAGAACTAAAACTGCAGCTCTAGAGATAGAGAACAGGCCTACATGTGCAGGAAGGTAATCTACAGAGAACTGGCAGGATGTGGCAGCATATGAGGGGTAAATGAGAGGGAGAAATGAAAAGTGACTGGGAATAGCTTGAGACACTCAGTGGATAGCGATGTCAGTAACCAATATGTGGACTTCTAGAAGACAGTACACTTTGGTGCAAGCCATGACAATGAGCTCAGTTTTGAATAGCATGGGCAGAAGTAACCAGGGGACATCTGAATGGAGCCATAGTCTGTTCAACATAAAAGTCTGGAAATCAAAGGAGAGGCCAAGAAAAGAAGCCTCCTGTATATTTATGAGAATAAGTGAGAAAACCCACAGTTTAACCTATAGAAAGAGTACATAGAACATATCTCTGATATCCCAAGGTAATAACCTTGAAAACAATGTAAAATTAGATTAATGGTTCTTGTCTAATAAAGTCATGCTAGCTTCTGGTGATCACTGCTTTTAACTTAAGAGCTCATTTTCTTGCTTCCTTTTGAAAAATCAAAATTAAATTTGCCTATCTCTCCTCTGTTTACCATAACTTCTAGAAAACCAATATTCATTTCATGCCAAGTTCTCCCAGTATCCACACACAGAATTCATAGATAAAAAGGGACATGCAGTGGGTACCTGTGATGTTTTTCTACCCCAAACTCAATTTGAGGATCTCAAAATGTGTATTTTACTTCTCTAAAGACACAGTTAAGAAAGTATATTTATCAATAGATGTTTATCAAGCACCTACCAAGTCAAAGTGGGGGTTATAAAAAAAAAAAAAGTAGAAGGTGTGGACCCTGCACACCAAAGAAAACCTTCCTCAAAACATCCAGTACATGGGGTCTATGTAAAACTAAATTTGGAACTTGGTAAAACAAGTACAGACAAGTACGTGAGGAAGTTGGGAGGTAAACACACTGCTAGAGAAATACAGGTGGAGATACGGGTGGATCTGGGTTTGGTTAGGAGTGATTCAGACCTCCTACAGAGAATGGCTCCTCCCTGGATGGACTTGCTATAAAAGGGCCACTATCCCAGACTTCAGCACCCAGCAAAGCTCCTTCAGGCTACATTCTACTTACTCGTCTGGTGAAGAACGTAAGTAAAAGGGAATACATCTAACTTTGCCTACTTGGTATTAAGCAAGGTGGAAATACGGGAGGTATGTGTGCTCTGAGGGAAATGTTCTGGATGTTTGAGGATCTTCATTTTTAGTGGAACTGTTACTAAAACCTTATTTTGATATAAAAGGAAAATGAAGCATAAATGTGTTTCCTATGAAGCTACTCAATACTCTGTATTGCTGGAGTTTCCATTTATTCATTCATTCAATAAATATATACAAACTGCCTTCTATTTGCCAAGTGCTGCACTTGGCTGATTATGCAGCAGTGATGATATAAACTCCCTACTCTAAGGAGCTTGCATTTAGTAGAAGGAGACATCCAGTAAACAATAAATGAACAAGAATTTCAAATAGTGCTAAGAACAATGAAGAAAATAAGAGAGTGGTGTAATAAAGAGATGGGAGGAGAGAATTTTAGATTAGAAGGCCGGGGAAGATCTCTCTGGGGAATTCTCCTTTAAACTGAGATCTTAATGACAAAAGGAACCAGCCAAAGCAAAGGGCAAGATTCTAAATAGGAGTCAATTTGTTTCAAAGAATAAAAAGAAGGGGCACCTGGGTGGCGCAGTCGGTTGAGTGTCCGACTTCAGCCAGGTCACGATCTCGTGGTCCATGAGTTCGAGCCCCGCGTCAGGCTCTGGGCTGATGGCTCGGAGCCTGGAGCCTATTTCCGATTCTGTGTCTCCCTCTCTCTCTGCCCCTCCCCCGTTCATGCTCTGTCTCTCTCTGTCCCAAAAATAAATAAAAAACGTTGAAAAAAAGTTTAATAAAAAAAAAGAAGCTAGTATGCCTAGAGCATATTTAACAAAAAAAACAGTGGTGTGTGGTGACATCAGAGAGCTAGATGGAGTAAACCATGTAAAGAGAGGCATAGTAGAATTTGTACATTACTTTAACTACATAGGAAGTAATTGGATAGTATTCAGCATAAAGAATGAGATAATCTAGTGCATGTTTTTAAAAGATCATTCTGGGGGCTGAGTTAGTTAAGCGTCTGACTTCAGCTCAGGTCATGATCTCATAGTCTATGAGTTTGAGCCCCAAATCGGGCTCTGTACTGACAGCTCAGAGCCTGGAGCCTGCTTCAGATTCCGTGTCTCCCTCTCTCTCTGCCCTTCCCCTGCTCGCTCTCGCTCTATCGCTCTCTCGCTCTCTCTCTCGCTCTCTCTCTCTCTCTCAAGTAAATAAACATTAAAAAAATTTTAAAAGAGCCACATCAGTATGGATATATGAATATATCTAGCAGAGAAGGATGACAATTGCAAAAGCAAACTTTTTGAGTAGGCAAAGGGGTTCCAGTGCCAAAACAGAGGACAGGAGCACAGACTGTACACATACACAACATCACTGCTGGTTAAAGTCTATGGACACAGATGCACGAGGCTGGAAGATCAGAAATTGGCAAAGTGAGGAAATTCTTTTCATTAGCTTCCAAGCTCTCAGTGAAATAAAACTCAAGGACTTCTTGTGAGATAAAGTACAAAAAGTCACTGTTGAGCTTTTGCCAGTAAGTACAAGAAAGACGGGGTACATGCTAGAAGCAATGACAGAGATTAACCAAATGTCTAACCAGAGTAAAGAGGTAGGTGAATACATAAAGCAGAAATAAACAATGAGGCCACAGAATTATTGAAATCAGAGTACCAGAGGAGGTCAGAAAGTGCAATCCTTGAGATGCAGACTTTTGGGGACAGCGCAATTACACATAAATTCAAGGTCTGGAATATCAACATAAATGACAGTGCCTGAAAAAAATCTTAATTTCTTTTTGTAAAAAGCATACAACTGTATTTTTTAATTCAATCTTTACAAACTGTCTTTTAGCCAACCAGTCTGATCAATTCACATACATAATTCATGATAAAATTATACGTAATCCTACTTTTTTTTTTTCAACATTTATTTATTTTGGGGACAGAGAGAGACAGAGCATGAACAGGGGAGGGGCAGAGAGAGAGGGAGACACAGAACTGGAAACAGGCTCCAGGCTCTGAGCCATCAGCCCAGAGCCCGACGCGGGGCTCGAACTCACGGACCGCGAGATCGTGACCTGGCTGAAGTCGGACCCTTAACCGACTGCGCCACCCAGGCGCCCCTGTAATCCTACTTTTATATTTTACACTTTCTGTTTACCCTCCCTTATCTATGCTTCTTATTTTCTTCTTTCCTGGTTTCCAATGCATTGATTGAAGCTTTTTTTTTTTTAATTTTTATTTTTCCTCTCTATGGTTGAAAAGTTATAAACTGCATTATTTTAGTGGTTACTCATAAACTTATCAAAATACAGGTTTAACAATGTCAAGAATTAACACCTATTTCCTCTCATAAAATAATCCAAGGTCCATACATACTTTAGCTCGATTTCAGTCATGTCTTTCACATTATCGCTTCCTATATCATATTAGTTTCATCTGGTTTTATAACTTCTAAAGTAGTCATTACAATGCTTTTATAAAATAAATGCTTATTTGGATGTCATTACAATGCTTTTATAAAATAAATGCTTACTTAGATTTATTGACCTGCTTAGTAATTTCTTTGTTCACCAATTACATAAATTGAGCATGCCTTAAATGCTCTTCATTAAGTGGCAAAATGAAAGCCAGTCAATAACAACAAAAAAAAATGTATAATATTGAGAAGCTATTAAAGCCACCCTATCCAATTAAAAATACTGTATACATCATGAAATGTTGCTTTTAAACAAAGGTGGAAATTCAATCTAATAATTGGTAAGACCTTAGAAAAATAAAAGACAGAGGCAGTAGGGTGGCTATGTCAGTTAAGTATCCACTTCAGCTCAGGTCATGATCTCACAGTTCCCAGGTTCAAGCCCCACATCAGGCTCTGTGCTGACAGCTCAGAGTCTGGAGCCTGCTTTGGATTCTGTATCTCTCACCCCTCCCCTGCTCACACTCTCTCTATCTCAACTAAATAATCTTTTTAAAAAAAAAAAAAGAAGAAGAAGAAGAAGAAGAAGAAGAAGAAGAAGAAGAAGAAGAGGAGACATACAAAAGTACATTTTTATTTCTTCCTTCCAGGTTCACCTTTACTACCAAAAGATGTCTACTCTCCTGGAAAACATCATTGCCATCATCGACCTATTCCATGAGTACTCAACAACAGACAAGGAGACTGACACACTGAGCAGGAAAGAACTGAAGGAGCTCCTGGAAAGAGAGTTTCGGCCAGTCCTGAAGGTAAGGGATATCAGCCAGGACCCAAGGGTGTATCATGTTTGTTTTGCAGCAGCATTGTGACAATATCTGTGAAGTCTTTGTAAATTATTACTTTTGGAAAAGAAAAGAGACTTCATTTAATTCAAAACAAGTATTATTTTCCTCTCTTTACACATTTGATATACTATGTGCAAACAAAAATGTGCACAACACACAAACACACATTCATCTTCTATGAAAGAAATATAAATACTTAATGACAAAAACTGAACACCAAAAATTAGTTCTTCATATTATGTTTCCTAATCTCAAGAATGCTAACAAGCTCCACTAAAAAGACAATGCATTGATGGATTTCATAACATATGTACATTAAAAAGAAAAAACAGTAATATGACCCATCCAAATTATTACTTTTCACAAACTACTATTTAACATATATTTGTAGGTACATTATCTACACTTTCCTGTAACTAATCATAAACTGAACATTAGCAAAGATACACACCACATATGGTCCCACATTTCCTTACCAGAAATCAGAATCACCAGTTGGTTGGATTATTCAACTGACCAAGGGAATCACTCTCATGTAATCTCCCTGTATCTTCCATATGTACAGAATCCAGATGACCCAGACACTGCTGATGTCTTCATGCATATTCTTGATCTAGACCATGACAAGAAAATTGACTTCACTGAGTACTTTCTAATGGTATTCAAGTTGGCTACAGCATACTATGAGTCAAACAGAAGACAGAACTTCCAAGCAAAAGAGCAAAACCAAAACCACCATACACACCGTACAAAAGATGAAGACGATGATTTGGATGAAGACAAAGTACAAGAAGAAAAAGAAGAAAAATTGAGAAAATCCACACAATCAGGAAAAACCCATGAAAAAAGGAAGGAGACAAGATCCAAAGGACTAAAAGGAAAAGGGGAATATAGACACAAGCAAAGACCTGACAATTCTAGACAGGCAGGATCCCTTGAGGGTGAGGAGGCTGATGGTGGACACTTGGAGCGAGGATCTCGTCACCATCAGTCATCCACTCAGGCACACGGCTCTAGACACTCACACCCTGAGCATGGACAATCCTCATCTGAATCCAGGCCAGTGAGAAACCGAGGGTCCAGTGTCAGTCAGGACAGCGACAGTGAAGGACACTCAGAAGATTCGGACAGACAGTATGGGTCTGGTCCAGGAAACCAACATGGGTCTGCCCATGGCCATGCGGGAGACGGCTCTAGACTCTCTCACT